TCATTGCGTATAGTAATTGCTCTGCAGTAAAGCCATTCAAACCACTTCAATTTTTGCTGATGATATTCGTTTGTTTTATGCCTGTGGTAATTATGAGTGAAATGTCATGTCATCATTGTGTATCAAACAGTGCCACCTTGAGGAAAAAATATGCATTGCACATATTGAGTCATCAGATATGTAAATATAGTTGCGCAGGAAAAAATACTTATACATTTACATACCTCGGGTCTCTAGCGACCCTATACACTTTTTACAAAAAATTAATCAGAAAACTGGCATTCTTTTATATTTTACTGTTTTTTGTTGTTGTTATATTGTTTATAATTAATAGATTGAGGAATACTAAGAAAGTTGATGTCTAACTTAAAAAAATGAAGGAGGGAGAGGGTAGAGAATGATGTCCCGGGTCGCTTAAGACCAGAGGTATGCATTTAAGGGTTAAGTGGGATATAAAAACATAAAATGTCTTGTCAAAAGTTGTAGCTACTCTGTTACAAGACTAAGATTGAAACAATATTTTTTCTGCTCATTTCATTTAAACTTTTACTCTAAAAGTCTCCTCAAGAAGACCCAAAACTTTTTTTTTCTGACATTGACATATCATGGTTGTCATTGTCTGATATCATTTCAGTTTATCATTTGAACAAATCCTTAACTTTCCTTGTATAGTCCAGGCTTATGCAATGGTAGGCCTTATCTTGCAATAGCTGTCAGGGTTTAAGTGTTTAATAAACAGTGTCTTCTTTTAACACCCTTAATAGTTATGTTTCTGAAGGGATTTATTTTGCTGCAATAATGTGTTTGGCGTTTTCACCTCTAAGTGACATTATTTATCAAATACATAATATGACATGGCGTAATTGCTTGGTGCAACACCTTTGATGTGCACTGGGACATGCAAGTAGATGCTGTACATTTGGATAAATGTAAAGAATGTGGATGAGCAAGATCCACCAGTTCGTGAGTATTAAAATCACAGTTTTTCTTTTCACTTTTCACATCTTAAGAAGATTGCCATTTGCTATTTTTTTACACATAGATACACCCCATTAAAGATAACTGTCTGCAAAATCAAAGTCTCAGTCTTTTTTCTTCATTGAATGTTAACTGCAACATATTACTTATTTCAGTAAGCGTAAAGATAAAGCTGTATACTTCAACTTCTGTAATTACTGCTTTAATTATATGATCACAATGTAAAATATTATGTCTACCGCATATCTTTTTTTGCCACATTTTGTGTAACAGTATTAAGCCCAGATGTAAAAAAAGAGTTTCCATTTTGGTACATCACATTGCATCCAGTTTGGGAGAACCACATTTGCTAGCCACAACATACTGTAATACAAGATGACCCACTTAAGAGAATAGGGACACTGCTGAGCTGTCATTTTATCTCAGGATGACACCTAGTGGACAAGGTCTAACATCCTGTCTAATGTTTTCTTTTAAGGATGTGAATGGATATGATGTGGTGTACTTTGTGTAAGAGAAAGAAACAAATGCTGGCCTAATGTTATAGCCATTCTAATAATAAGTCGTAATTCAATTAGATCCAGCTGTAAATAGATAATATGGCCACTTTTTATGTATTTCCATCAACTCTGGGATCATTCTGTTAGCTAAGTAGCACTTGTTTTGACTGGTGTGAACTATTTTGGGTGTTTCTTTTATTTGGGTGTTCAACATGGCCGATGTGACATAATGGACCACCATGGTCTAAGCTGTGACCCAGTCAGCAAATTTCCTTTGGCGCGGATCTGGCCCATATCAACAGCTAAAGTGTGGCCCAGATTAGTTTGTGTTCGCCGGCCCAAAACTGGTCCAGATCTTTTTAGCCAGAACTGAACCTAATCAGTGCCATAACCCAACCCAGAGTGAGCCAAATAATACAGCTATCAGCCACATTTGGCCCAAACGTTCTTGCTATCTGGGGACGTTTTGTGGAAATGTTTCCACTTATTCAAGCAAACAGTCTTCTCCCTACTCCCAAATTGCAGCCGCACCCATAAATGACTGAATTTGATTTCCTGACCTGTCTGATCATACTGTAAGAAAGGCTGATGGAAGTGTCTGTGTGGGCAGACAGCTTTGTGGGGGAGAGGGCCTCGACTCTGTTTGTGGGGTGTTTGACTGAAAACACAAAGATATTCAAGTCTGCCCATGACTTCATTCAGGGTCCTCTGAGCAGACAGACAAGGGGAGTAGAGTGGAAATTAATACAAGAATGTCTTAGGGCAAGGACTGATCTGTACATAAACGTATCCTTATGTGCTGTTCCATGATGAGTCAGAGAACTTATAGACACAACAACTTAAATATACCATTTCACATTATGTAAGGGCTAATCTCGAACAGCTGGCCATTCCGTATCTTTCTGAAGGGTTGTGTGTGATAATGACTGTAAATCAGGGTCAGGCAAAATTCAGAATTGAAGAATTTGAGTCCCTTTCAAAACATGAGTTGGAATTTGGCAAAATCCCAACGGAAGTTGAATTTGAATTAAAGGAAGAGGAATTTATTGAATTATAATTTAGAGAAATTCAACAGGGAATGGGAAATGAAGTGTTCTTCCCCTATAATTTTATAGAAATATAAAGAAGAATACACAATTTTAAGTACAAATTCCTGTAGCTCACATTTCAAACAAACATCTGCTTGTCTAGTCTTGTGTAGCCAGAGCTTCAGACTGACGGCAGAAGGTCTGAGAACCTTGGCCGCTTTGAATGGCCAAGGACCACTCAAGAGGCCATATGACTGACAGATAAAGCAACCAATCACGTTTTTCAAGAGTCTATACCTGAACTTTACATGTTTCACATACTTTCAAAAATGCAGCATTTAGTTGATCCTGATAAGCGCTCATTGTCACAGCTGTAAACACAATGGCTTTCTTCTTCGTGAGGGGGTTTGGCACCATGGCATCTTTGTTTCCAAGCAGAAAGTTGAAGAACTCGACAAACACGTCTCCAGGAAATCCTGTATAATTCAACCAATCCGACGACTTCGAAACTCCTAAAGTGTTTCCAATTTTGTGTGCCATGAGGCTGAGACAACTGTTTGTCTGTAAGGTCTATAAACCCTTCAAAACTTTATCAATTTTCAGGTAAAATTTTGTAATGCAATAATTTATAGTTTGTCTTGACAAACCTTCCCTTCATTGAAACAAATCCAGTTATACTTCTTTAATTTCAGTTATTTCGTTTGGTTATTTTACATTTATTATATAAGTAGATGGACATGAAATATTAACTTAACTTATTCAATTTGGTGGTCATAAAATATTTGACTAGAATACTGAGGTTGACAATTTTTTTAGAAGTACACTGAAGTACCATGCACACCACGTGTAAAATTTACTAGCAATTTCTGAGTGAAAATTGTTTGAAAGTAAATGTAGGACCTTTTTTTTTTTTTTTCAAACAATTACAAAAAAACAACAAATCACACTGAATTAAATGTTTTGTAATATTAGTAGTTATAGTATTTTCTTGTAAAGTGTACTCCAATTTATTCACAACTAATATTTTTTACTGTATAATAAAGTGGCACTTTGTATTTGTTCAAATCTTAGTAGGAAATCTTTATTCCACTTCACAAATATAAAAATTAATGTTTTTAAATTAAGTTCTAACAGAGATGAAGGTCTAAATCCCCCCCAGGTGAGATTAAGGATTAACCCTTAACCCTCATCACAGCTGACCCCTTCAGCATGGCACTTAACCTTAGGTTGCTGCAGGAAGAGGTGTCCCTTACATTTTTGTAGCATTAGTCGGTTTGCTTTTTTTTTTTTTCAGGCAAAATAACCATAAGGAAGCAGCTTCTTCGAGGAGTTCAGTTGCCCTTGTGAAGTGAGTAAATGCTATTGCTACATAATAGCTCATTACTCACATACTCATAAACAGAGCAGAAATGTTAAGTTTGTCTTGTACCATGTTCTGCTTTGAAGGACAGACCATAT